CCAAAATGCATCTTTTAAATTTTCATGCTTTTTAACTTGTATTGAGAAAATGTAACCAATTAAATAATTGCCACATACATATATAAAATTTGTTTTTGATACATTGTCAAATTAACGTAATTGTAATTACTATATTAACATAATTTCAACAATTCATACTTAATATTCAATGACATATCCAAAATTTTAAAAATTATTAAAAAGATAAAATATCACAAGTATGTTAATTTTTATAGTAAATTTTTCTTACTACAATTCAATACAAAGGAGATCTTCAAAATTTCCTTGGAAATATTTTAGGTTACTAAAACAAAATCGTAAACAAAACTAAACTTTGTAATGAGTGGATAAATGTGGTGTTTGAAAGGGTTTGTTGCTCGTGAAGCGCTAAAGCGCTCTGCTCATAATCATGTACTATATTTAAAATAAACAAGAAAATATAAACATTAAATCTTTTATGAAACAACAATAGAACTTGATAACAATAAAATTGGTAGTAGATCCTAGTCTATACGTACAACTTTACACAATCAAATCGTTGCCAAAAGTTTATCAACATTTATCTCGAAAATTACTTATTTGTCTACGGTATATAGTTCCTTTTAAATTCTTGCTCATCTTGTGGAACAGAATATGTTGATATAAAAAAAATTTAACATTGACTTTCAATAATATGAACAATTTTGTGACAATTTTGTTTGCAAATATCTACCAATTAACCCCCTTAAGCCACAACAATTACTTTTTTTATACTCTCTACAGTACATGACACTGCCTATAAATGTCATACGAAAATCTAAATGATTTGATCACGTGAAAATAAAGTCACAACACGAAATACAGTGTCATGACAATGTGACTTCTAGTTTTCATGATTGCAAAAGTCATAATATTTCGAGTAAAAACGTAAAAAGATTCGATGCTATAATATTAAAATTCCAACACGAAAACCAATGTCATAGCAATGCAACATCTAATAGTTTTCATGACGACAAAAATCATGACAGTAAAAGTATTACTACCACGTAAAAACGTACCTTTAGAACTTTGTATCATATTTTCTAAAATATCAATAATGAAGAAAATCGAAAGTTTCGTTACGCCACAGACGAGACACAAAATAGAACTAACACCACAAACAAGGTATAAAATAGACTTATCACCCAATGTATTTTTTTGTCCACATCACGGGGGCTCCAGAGCCCTGTTATCATTTTCATGCCGCTTCCAACGTTACCGATTCAACATAGAATAAGATAAAATTTCAGAACGTTGAACACAAAAATACATTAGGTGCAAGATCTGTGATATAGGTACAGACAAGATATAGGGTAGACCAATCATTTTATGGGACTTTTTATCACACAATGTGAAATACCGACGTCGTCCAAAACTACTGGTTTTGAAGCGCACCCTATGCTTACGGAACGGTCATTTTAAGAATTGCATAACGCAAAACGATCGATACTTGGTCGTGTGTACATTGTTATTGTGTTCTCAATATACCCTTGGATCCCAAAATGCAAATGCATGCGATTGAATTCATTCTGATTCATCCTAAGATTCAAAATTTTGTCTCCTTTATTATTTAAAATAAATGCCAAGTGTTCTTGATTTCAATTTCTACCATAAATAACGTATAGTGATATAATACCAGTCTCAATCGATATGGTAGAATGATGGTAACAGGGTTCTAGGACCCCGGGGTCGTGTGACAAAAAGATACATTGGATGAGTAGTCTACTCTATATCTTGTCTGTGATCTTATAAATCATACACGAAGTATGGAATTCAATACTTCTAAATGTATAATATATACATAGTATTTACATATTATATATTAGCTTCGCAAGCAGCTTGTGAACAATTGTAATTTATTAATATGTTACAAATTTTACTAATAAAAGGTTAGTATGTGTTCAAGGTTCTGGGGTATCAATTTGCTGTTCCTTACAGTCCTCTTACCAAAAGTCATCGTCTTCCCCACTCCGTGGCCAGACCCTTCGCGAACAATCTTCTTATTTTTAAAGCAATGCAACGTCGGGCTGCTTGCCTCCCTTAAACTTTCTCCTGCCTTCTTCTAAACAATTTCGAGTCACTGCAATCGTTGGTCATCTGACTTGTCTCCTATCGTAAACATTCTCTCTGACCACACGCAGGTCAAGTACCTGCCATAAATCGTACGAAAGTAAAACAACAGCAGGTCATTTGTCTTCGATAACCCTTGAAAATGCGTTGGCGCTAACAAATAAATACAGATTTTCATTAAATTCAGCCGCTTGGATTTTCAGCATAAATATTAGCACTGCTATTTTCGAGAACTTTGAAATCTGTGCATATTTATTTATTAGCGACAACGAATTCTTAAGGGTCATCGAAGGTAATTTGCCAAAATGACAAGTGGAATTTATAACTTAATTTAAGGTCGCTCAACCTTGAGTACAACGGTTGCGATAAACCGATATTCTTTCTTATATGTACGCTATTCTAGTACGTTTGTCCTAATTCAATTGACCTGCGTTTCAGACATTTGTAATAGCTAGTATTAAATATTGCTTGGAGAACTGATTCAAATGTCCATACAATTCTACAAATTCTGGAGTGTGTCATGCTGTTTCTTGCAGTTTTCTTACCAGAAGGTACCCTTGGCTTTTCCAAATCGTGGTCATCTATTTTAGGAACGATATTTTTCTTTGTGAAGACAACGCAACCATGGGTTGCTTGATATCTTTAAACTCTCTTATTCTGAAGAATCAAATTCTCGATACTTGAGAACTACACGACTTTCAGTCGCTAGCCATTAATGAATATGCACCTACTTATCTGGTAAGGTAAGTATATCTGCAATCGTCACTCGTATTTTCACTGGCAACATGCGGTTTAAGTACCTATCATAAATTACTCCAATGCTGAATAGCACCAAGCTAACTGACCTCGACCACCCTCAAAAATGTGCTGCCGCTAACACGCATATCCTTCTACACTCTGTTCAAAATAAGAATAACCTCGCTTCGCGCATGGGACGTCTAACCGCCTACGTTTTTCTCCGTCTTACCCTCTGCTACGCTCTCCGTCTACTGTTCCAGGCGTGACGTTTTCATATACACGGTGATATAATTAATTCTCTATTTACTTTTGTATTGTCCTCTTTTTGGTCTTATTGCTGCTATCGTTAAAAGAAAGTTTCTTACGACCACATAAAGAATTTGAAGATCTATTCTGATTTTCTTCGATACTGTTTTTATTTCTTTTTCTAATCATGCGACACTCTATGCGTTAAAAATAGTTCTTTTGTCGGATTGCTTCCCGCCCACCTTTCAGTAAGTTTATAGCTGCAGTGCATAATTTTATCTCTGAAAATTTTTAATATTTTTTCTGGAACGTTTTCTGTATTAAAGTAGTTGAGGACAAACGAATAAGCTGAGATCTTTAACTCAAAAATCAACCTTCCTTATTTTTGATTTCTAACGAATGAAATTTTTACCAACATATTTGTCACATTTTTCTGATTAAAGTGATACCAAACACGATATAATTTGGAGTATATTTGCTTACTTAATAAATGATAATAAGTAATAAGTAAATAAGTAAATATAATCCAAATTATATCGTGTTTGGTATCATTTTAATCAGAAATATTTTATAAATACGTTACTACTAGTTTAATTAAAAAAGGGTAAAAAATAAAAAAGTTTCACCTTTGAATTAGTGCGAACAGTGGCGAGCATACAAATAGGTACTGCAAACCTAAAGTGAAGTTTCTGACGTCACAGCCTAGCAAACTGAAGGCAAAATAGGCAGTTCAGTTCATCCCCACTACTCTTGGGTCTTACACTGTAGACGCTTAAGGGGAAATTGCGTTGTAGGTAAATGGTTTAGACAAACGAATTTAAGTCAGCTGTCGATAATGTAACACGCTGATAAAAGAACGAAAAACTAAAAATTATTTGGTCGCCTTGTCCTCTTACCTACGTTGGTGCGTAAGACATTTAATAGCGCAGACATTAATTTCTAAGCGACTCATACACAATAAATTGTTATTGTAAAGGAAGCCTCAAGAGAAGTATTAATATTTTTTAACAGTTAGAAAACTAACAAAGGAATATTTTTTTGCTATTCCTGAATAATAAAAGTAGATTTCGGTGCATTAAAAAATTGCTTAAGAAACTAAAAAATTTCTGGCTGCAATGAAAAATAGCGTGCCACCACAGACCGACAGGCACTTTTTACAGCCAATAAAAGCCATCAAACAGCCACTATTTAATGTTAAAGTTTTGAAAAATTTAACAAAATCAGACATGTAATCACTTTAACCGTAATATTTCGGCTTTGTTTAAAGATAATATTTCGACCTTGGGCTGAATATACATATATACACAGAATTTTATTTATTATTAGCAAACATAACAATAATCGCTGCTAAAGTTTCAATTACTGATTTGACACAGTTCCCACTCATAGAATAATATTGAAAAAATACCATTGGATTGCTTGAATTTTAACCTGTAAAATAAGCTTATCGAAATAATAGACAGATTTTGGGAACATGGGATAAAAAAATAAAGTTTACCACGATGCACGTCGTTTGGCGTCGCGCAGGCATCTGTTCGCCTGTTTATGGTGTCTGCGCGACGTAAACTTAATTTTTTATCGAGCGCTTGAAAATATCATTCCGGTCAATTATCGACTGCTCATCTGTTTACCGACTGCTCATCTGTTTACCGACTGCCCGAACGAGATCCGATCGTCATCGATTGTTCGTAGAAGAGTAAGTGCGATAGCCTTATTCTATCCCTATTGGCTGACTATAAGAGAAGACATAAGAGTAACTGCGATAGCCTTATTCTATCCTTATTGGCTTACTAACAGCGAGCCGTCGCAAGTTCCCCTACATCTCCTACTTCTAGGCCCTGAGTGACGTCAGAGACTTCACTTTAGGTTTGTCGGGCAGCCTATTAGGAATAAGAATTTCATACATTTTCCACCCTCATGGCAGGGGTATAATAGCTAGGATAAGAAATTCGTGGCATACCGAAGTTCAGTTTTAAATCAGAGTGCGTTCCACAATTATAATATACTATCATGTCAAGTAAAAAAGCAGTGACTTTGTCAATGCAAAAACGGCTACAGGTCCTTGAGGACTTGAAAACTTTATCTATTGCAACCGTTGCTGCAAAGCATCAGGTACATCCAATAACCATCCGACGCATAAAGAAGAAGTCGGTCCGTATTCTCGAATTCGCTGCAAAAAGCAAAGGACACCTACAACGGCAAAGGTTAAGAAAACCGTTGTTCGAGGAATTGGAGCACCGCTTGTTTACGTGGTTCGTACAAAGAAGAACTCTTGGGGATTTTGTATCCGATAGTTTAATGTTGAAAAAAGCTGCAGAATTGAAACAGGATATTCCATCTTGTTCCAATAGTAAAATTAGTACATCGTGGCTTGCTAAATTTAAATTTCGACATAACATACGTTTAGTTAAAGCCTATAGGAAAAAAGAAGAAGAAGTTTTCAATGAAAAAGATGTGAACGTATGTAAAGAAGAAGAAGAAGTTTTCAATGAAAAAGATGTGAACGTATGTAAAGAAGAAAAAGTTTTCAATGAAAAAGATGTGAACGTATGTAAAGAAGAAGAAGAAGAAGTTTTCAATGAAAAGGATGTGAACGTATGTAAAGAAGAAGTTTTCAATGAAAATGATGTGAACGTATGTAAAGAAGAAGTTTTCAATGAAAACGATGTGAACGTATGTAAAGAAGAAGTTTTCAATGAAAACGATGTGAACGTATGTAAAGAAGAAGTTTTCAATGAAAACGATGTGAACGTATGTAAAGAAGAAGTTTTCAATGAAAACGATGTGAACGTATGTAAAGAAGAAGTTTTCAATGAAAAGGATGTGAACGTATGTAAAGAAGAAGAAGAAAGTGAAGAAAACGAAGATGTGTATGAAAGTGAGAGGACAACTACAAGCTCGAAATCGGAGCGAATAAAACATATTATGCAGTGCTTAAAATTTCATTCAATGCGAACCACTAAATTGACGTTGGAATTAGAGAAACTATTATCAGAAGACTCAACGTAAAAAACTATAAATAAATAATATAATTATAGG